GTCATCACCATATTCAAGATCTATCAGATCAGAATCTAGCAGAGAAGCCACAAGAATCTTGATTTTAACACACATTTGAGATGAGTAGACAAGGTGCAGAATCTAGGGCAAGAACATAAGATGGGGAATGTTCATAATAGGAACAATGTTAATGATGTGGTGGGGGAAGAGGAGGAGCTGTCATTCAACACTAGAATGTTTCCACAATTGCTCTTCCTTCCAACTTTGACCAAGAGCTGATTTCAATGCCCATGAAGCACACAGGTCTTGAAAAGAAGACAAGGGAAGTGCTCCAATCATGAAAAATGAAATCCCAACTCAACTGTCTTCTCCATGAAGATAACATTCTATACCCTCCCCCAACCAGGGAGAAGGGACATTAGTTTTGTATTGCCTCTTTATTTTCCATTTTCTGTTTCCCTTTCCAAATAGCCTCTCAATATTCTTTTTAGGATCTTTATGATTAAAGTGAAGAAACAATATCAGCTCATTCAATTAGGGTATTCTATTCCCTGGCCTATAGGAGCAAGAGGTTGGCACCATGGCTTGGCAGGCTGATCTGGCTACACCTTCAAGTACCAGCATCCCGTCTAGACACTAGCTCATGTCCCAGCTTTTCTTCTTCCCACCCAGCTCCCTGCCTGTTGCCTTGGAAAATAGGAGAAGATGGCCCAAACCCTTGGGAAGAAGCTCTTGACTCCTGGCTTTGGATTGGCTCAGCTGGCCATTGCAGCCATTTGGGAAGCAAACCAGAGGATGGAAGATCTTTCCCTCTGTGTTTGTCTTTCTACCTGTAAATCTGACCTTTAAATAAAAATAAATATATTTTTTAATGATGGAAGTAACCAGAGATATATGAATCATGCCAATCAGTTCAGCTGGGTTTTTTTTCTAGATAATGTAGTTCATATAGATGTGAAACCTTCAGGGGATGGCCAGGTTCAACATAAAATGAACATAGAGAGAATGCAGGGACAAGAATCCCACAGAAAGCAAAGCTAGAACTCAGATCCAATCATGTACAAAATTGGTTCTAGCAGTACTACCCCTTTTTAATCATAGAAAGCCAAAGATTTCCTTCATTAAGTATGCCACATTTAGTTGGAATTCCTTTCATTTGCATCTTAACTCATCGTAATTAGTACACCTGTTGTATTTGTCCAATATTTTCAACTGAAAATTCACCTACAGGAAAAAATACAGAAAACTTAGTCCATATCAGTTGTTTGGCACAATGATCAAGATGCCACTTGGGGTATAGGCGTCCCATGTTGTAGTGCCTGGATAAAAGTCTTGGCTCCCTGCTAACTCCACCTGCCTGCTAACATGCACCCTGGGAGAAGGTAGTGATGCTCCAGCATGCGGTTCCTATCACTTAAACAGCAGACCAGATCTGTCCCAGCTCTGACATTTGGGGAGCAAGCTAGCTGAAGTCTCTCATCTTCTCCCTCTCCCTCTCTCCTTCCTTCCCTTCACTCTCTCCCTCTTGTTTTCTCTAATTCAAAAAGCAATTTTTCAAAAGAACACTAAACCCTTAGGAAGATATAAACTCTACCAAAAACAGAAATTTGATTATTTTAGTGACAGTGCTGTTAAGATGTTAAGAACTTTGTCATCTTCTACAAATGTAAAGGATTGCTAAGAGTGAGGAACCCAGCTGATTTACACTGATTTTTTTTTCTGTCCTATCCTGATTACACCTACTTTTACTTACGGCATAGATTCTGAAACGGCAGAGGCAATCTGTGTCTACCATGCTTTGGACAGCCACTAGTCATTTGTGGCTGCGGAAGAATTTTGTCTTGGTGACCGAGGTAGTCAAAGTTTTCATTTCACCCCATATTGAATTTAAATATGAACACACACAAAACACAGGTATAGCTATAAAAATAAAACATTTGACAAGCATTTTTACCATGGTAAAATATAAAAAATAACATTTGTGAACTGTTAGGATGTGTGCACTCATTCTCTCAGCCACCTGAGCCATGACTTCACATTCACGCAGTCATGAAGCCTCTGGGAGTCACCGATGTTCAGTTGTGACAAGGGCAATAAGCTCTGATTATGAACATAGCCCTACCTCACAGGTCTCGGCAGCAGGGATCCTCAGAGGCCCAGGACCAACCCTGGGGTTTCCAGGGACTGACAGAGCCCAGCCCCTTGTGCTAAAAAAACAAAGGCTTCCCTAATCCACTACTCCTTCCTTCCACTTTTGTGGCTCTCACCTAGCCTGCACCACCCCCAGGTTCAGCTTTTCTGGCTGGGCTGGTGGGAGGGAGAGGCTGAGTCTCAGCCCTGGGTCAAAGCAGCTGTCCTGGGGGATGGAGAGTGGCGACGGCAGCTTGGCTAGCTGCAGGAGGATGTTCCCTCCGAGGCTCCAAGTCCCCAAGGAAGGCGTCTCCAGCCGAGTAGCAGAAAGAAAAGCCCAAAGTGAAATTCAAGCTGCTGGAAAAGATGGAGAGGCCCCTTGTCCCTGGAGTCTCCTGCTTCTCCCCTCCTTCCAGCCGGCAGGAAAGACGGGGCGGGTCAGGGCAAAGAAGAGAGGGCTTCACAGGGTCTTTTGGGGCAATTCAATCAAAGAAATTATTTTCCCACAGATGAAGCCAAGAATATCTTAATGGCTTTTCCCTGATTGAGGAATAAATCTTCTATGAATTTATGGCCCAAACCCAACCCAGTTGTGTCAACTCTGCCCACCCTCCTTAAAAATGTGAGAAACGCTTCCGAATCCCACTTACGTTCAGGGTTTCCATCTTCCCTTCCTATTTTTCCCCCTTTTCTCTCTGCTTGTCCAGTTTTCCAAAAACAAAGTTTCCACCTCCTTTGATGCCACTTCCCTATCCCAGAAAGGAAACCCATAGGCACCCATTAGAGATGCAATTTGGCCCAGAGGTTAAGGCTCTGATTAAGACCTGTTTGCCGGTTGCCTGTTGGTCTGCCTGTGTGTGGCCTGGGAAAAAAGCATCAGAGGGAGACCCAAAACCTTGGGAGACCAGGAAGAAGCTACCTCCTGGCTTCGGATCAGTTCAGCAGCCATCTGGGGAGTGAACCAGCAGACAGAAGATCTTTCTCTCTTCTTCTGTGCATAAATCTGGTCTGCCTTTCCAATAAAAATAAATAAATCTTAAAAAGAAAAAAAGTCCTGCTGTCCCATCATCCCTTCAGTGCTTGGCGTTCCAGTCCCTGTTCCCCTCCTTATCACATCTTCCTGCCGTATGCAGCTTGGGAGGCAGCAGTGATAGCTCAAATAGTTCTGCCCATACACCTGCCTGTGAGATTCCCACTAGTTCCAACTCTGGCCTGGCTCTGTGCTTACCATTTACAGGCACTTAGGGAATGAATTAGTGGATGGGAGTCCTCTCTATCTCTCCCCGCCCCTCCTTCTCCGTGCGTTTGTCTGCCTCTCAAATACGTTTAATTAATACAATTGTTTTATTAAGACAAGAATAATTAGATGGCTTCAGAGAGAAACCGTACAGAGTCAAACACCACACCTCAGTTCCAAAGGTCGGGTGAACCCCGAGCAAGCGTGGTTTCTAACCAAGCCTAGAGTCCCACGGAGCGTCAGGGTGCAGAGACCCAACCCCTACAGTAAATCAGAACAACGCAGATTACAAGAGAAATTTACTGTCTGGATTGCCCCCAGTTCAATTAACACACCCCTGCTGTTCACTGCCCAAAAGCAGATATTCACGTCACAGCCATCTCTTCTGGCTGAGGACACGGCAGCCAGCTCCAGAGCAGAGAGCGCGCTTGCTCCTTTGGGGAAAGGATTCGCAGAAAGGATTCAAAGTACAGCGATCCTGACATTCTGAGGAAAGCGGTCTACCGCTCTCTCTGTCTCTTGCCTCTTCACACTCCAGTGCTGGAGATGACTCGGGAATGAGCGCTGATGGAGACAGGGATGCGGGAGGGGGCTGCTCCCAATGCCATTTGCTGGGCACGTGTCAACAGGCAAGTAAATAACGGAAAGAAAAAAACTTTGGAATTTGGTAAAAAAAAAAAAAAAAAAAGCAAAGGAATTGAGATCTTGGCACAACGTTGCGCGCAAAATTTTACTATGAATACAAATGGGAAGGTTATGCCTGATATTGTACGTTTAACCTACGCCGTTAGAGTCAGCCATGCCGGCTTGTGTGACCCCTAGAGTAAAAGCACCTGCGCAGCTCTGATGGAGCAGCTTAACGCGCAGCTTCTTTGCACAGGTGTGGCTTGGGACCGGGCGGAGGGACGTGGAAAGCCGGATCGGACTTCAAAGGGGAGCGGCGTGGCCTGCTCTGCGACGGTGGAACGCTAGCAGCACGACCTCTGAGCCCCCACGCAGTTAGGCCTTCTGCTCCGGGCGGTTCTCAGGGCCCTCGCCGCCTACTCTGACGTCCAGGGCCCAGAGGATTCTCTTGGCTGCCCTATCTTTAGGATGGACCTTTTTATCTGCTGCATACTGACGAGAGGAACGGAATCCCATCCAGGTCTCTAACAGCAAAGATGACGGCCTAAATTTTCACACCACCACAGCAGGAAGGGCGCGGTCCGGACACTCGGGAGTGAGACCTGCCCGTATTTAGGTCACACAGCCAGTCACAGGGTTCAGAATTCCATCCCGTAGCACCGCGCGCAATTCCCAGCCGCTCACCGAGGAGGGGCGAACCAACCCGGCCCCAAAGAACAGGTTTCCTAAACGTGCCTGGCGGGGCCGGCACTTGGCAGCGTGCGCGACCTCTCGCCGGGACTTTCGTTTTCAGCGGCATGCGCCCAGGGAGGTTTATGACCACAGCCGGGCAGAACCGAAAGACGCGTGGGCACCATAGATGGTCGCGGGGTGTGAGGCCCCCAGCTCGCCGCCTCGGGTTCGCAGGGCCCCATCCTCCTGGTGCGCAGGGCTTTGGAGCCAGAAAGTGTATACAGACCATAAATTTCCCGACCCGCCCGGCGCGGCGCGGCGCTCGGAGTCTGGGGGGCTGCGCGCCTGAATCCGCCTCCTCGCGCCGGTCGCTTACCCGCGCCCCGGTGACTACTGCTGGTGTCAAAGCCCTCCCGACGCTCTCAGCCGCGCTCTGCAGCTTAGCTCCGCAGTACGGCAGCTACAAGTGCACCACGGGGGTCTCTAAAACGCAGGGCTCAGCCTCCAGGAGGCCCCCGACCGCAGGATTGGGGCAGCGGAGCAGGCAGGCTTTGGGAGGCGAGGCCTGAAAGAGGGCCAGGTGAGCGGGGTAAAGAGAAAGATCAGTGAGGAGCCAGTAAAGGGAAGCTCCTGTGGCTGCTTAAAGTTTTCACACCTTTCCTACTGAAGTCAGCACCAGCACAGTAAGTGCAGTTTCCAATTAGCTTGGACCAATTTTTGCAGCGAAGCCATGCGCTCTCCAAGATTATGAGCCTTGCGCTCTGTACCACACTAGGAATACACTTTTCCTGTGGGGAACGGAACTGATTATTCCGAAAACTCAGCGATTGCATCTACACTAACGTTGCTAAATGTTTTGAAATAATGCTGAGCTAATTCGTCAACAAAGACAAACTTCGTATGTTCCTTTTCCTTTGACTCAATCTCCGAAGCACACCGAATTGATGATTAGTTGGAGACATTAGGGAACTTCTGAGATGGAGGCTCAGCTTGGCTACTTAACATACTTTACTTCGATCAAATGACCCAAATTTTGGACTTCCGCAGCATGCCTATCTGTGAGAGGAGAACCACTTTCTTCCTCTGTTTGCCAGAAAGACTTCATGAGGTGCAACACTGTCACCTCGTTTTAAGGAGAAAGGCTCGTGCCTCCTCCATTCTGTCCCCACATCCTGTAATAATTTCAAGCCCCGAGTGCAGATGCTTTCATGTAATTTTCATGAAATGATGGTAATGGTGCTAGTTTAATAACAATTCCCACTTATTGAGCTCCCACTGTTTGCCCAGAGAACTGTGCCTGTAGCTGTACTCTGCACCAGGGGTAATTACCTACAAGTTCCAAAACAAACTGATAGGGGCTGGTGGGGAGTAGTGGGTGAGGCAGAAAGAGCAGATGCAATGGGCCAGCATGAAGTGGGACACACCTACTCACTACTGCTCCTGTGTGTTTCTGGGATGGGAAAAACGAGGGACCAAAAGGGAAAGAGATGGGAGCAGGAGCTTTTGGTTTGGAAGATGCATTTAAGAGCCTTCAGCTCTTTGTACCCGGAGACACTGATGGTTGGGAATGTCAGGTAAACCCAGCACATAGTGGGGGATCAAAGGGTTCAAGAATGTATAAACAGATGACACTGGGTCTTGCCCCACACTCTTGGCTCCCGAACAATGCCCCTGAGGAGAATGGAATATCTGTGGGGTACTTTCTAAAAATTAAGCTGACCAATTCCTTTTAGAATGATTTTCAAAAGTCAAGTTCGTTACATTTTGATTCACCAACTAGGGTCCGTCACCCTGGGGCATTCAGGCTGCCCTGCCTGGGACCTCCTTCTCTAAATTCAGCCTCCACCCAGATCTCCCCTCAAAGGTGGGTGAGGATGAAAGCTGAACACCCAGAAATCCCCAAAATAAAGGCCAGAGCCCAGGAAGCAGAGAAAGAAACGATGAAAAATAGGAAGTGGTGAGACAAACAAATTAGGAGCAGGACAAAGAAATGGGAAGAGCCAGAGAGGTGAGAACTGTAAATTGTTGTGGGCACACAGTTTTGAAATTGGGCTAGTCTTTAGTTTGACTTCTTTTTAAAGGTTTATTTGTTTTATTTTAAAGGCAGAATTACAGGGAGAAGAAGAGACAGAAAGAAAGATCTTCTATTCATTGATTCACTCCCCCAAATGACCGTAATGGCCAGCTGAGCTGATCTGAAGCCAGGAGCCAGGAACCTCTTCTGGGTCCCCAATGTGGGTTCAGGTTCCCAAAACTCTGGGCCATCCTCCACTGCTTTCCCAGGCCAAAAGCAGAAAGCTGAATCAAAAGTGGATCAGCCAGAGGTATGTGAGATGTTAGCACTGTAAGAGAGAGGATTAACCTATTGAGCTATTGCACCAGCCCAATTTTTATTTCTGTATAGCTTTTCATCTCTTCTTTTTATTTTTTCAGGCACAAAATGCTGCGTGAGGGTTTTAGAGTGGGCATCACAGGCTGTAGGGACCTTTGAGAGGCAAAGGAAATGAAAATGCTTAGATCACCAACTATAGCCAATGCCCCCTCAAAATGGTAGCCTCCCAGTCCTATAGCTCGGCTCGCACCTGACCAGCACGGGACTGGATGTTTGGCCACCCAACTGTGGACCTGAATTCTTGAAGGTCCCAGAACACTGATTCAGACCTACCTACACGGTGCAGAATCGGTGGAGATCAAGCGACTCAAAGAACGTGATGGTTGGAGCCAGCTCTGTGCTTTTGGCATGACAAGCTAGGCTGTGCAGAATTTCAGGGGCCACTCCTGTGGGGCATGCTCAGCCTGTGATTCTCCTCCCAGTGGGATCCAGAAGATGGCCAGGAGACTGAGGGTGCCTTCATGTTGACTTCCCGTTTCCGTTTTGCCTATATTCTCTTACTGCAGTCAGGTGAGAACACTAACACAATATTCTCTAAGAATCTCATTTGTCCTGATAACATCTGACCAGGTAGGCATAACTTTCATTCTGCTGATCCCAGACACTTGCTTAAGGCTTTCCACAAGTCTTAAGTGTCAGAAAACCATCTCAACTACACCTCCAATCAACTGTGTTGAGCACCTTCTCTATCCACAAGGCTTTGAGCTCAGATCCAAAACACATCAAAAGGAAGAGGTGCCAGTGTATGCCTGAATGGAATAAATGGAATCAGTGAGCACACAGGGTCCTAACTGCCAGGCTTGTCCTTGAGGACATCCTCTGAGCACTTGGCCACAGGACAAACCCCACCTAATGACTGAAAAAGTTTAAGGATCGTCTTCATTGTGTTTTTGTCCCCATTATATAAAAATGCTAACAATTACCTCAATAAATATTACAATGGATAAATTCAAGAAGATATTATGACTTCCAAACCTATAATTGTATATAAGCCACTATATTCATTCACTTCTTAAAAGTCTTAAACTTATTTTGTCTATCTGAGAGGAAGAGAAAGACACATAGAGAAAGACAGATCTCTCATTCATTCACTGCCCAAATGCTCCCCAACAGTTGCAGCTGTGGCATTCAAAAACCAGGAACCAACTTAATCCAGGTCTCCTATGCGGGTAGCAAGAGAACAACTGTTTCAGCAGCCACATGCTTCCTCCAAGGGTGTACATTAGCAGGATGCTGGAATCAGAAGCAGCACCCAGGCCAGAACCCAGACACTTCAATATAAGTTGCAAGCCACCCAAGTGATTCTTAACCATATGTCAAATGTCAGTCCCATTCATGCATTATTTCAATACAATAAATCCTCGAGATAGGCTTGACTATATCCTGTCATGCAGTGGAGGAAACTAAAGCCACCAAGTTTGCTGAATGCCCCTAGGTCATGTCACTAGTTATTGGTAAGTGAGGGAAGGAAGGAGGAATGCACACCTCTGTGCCTAGTCGGTATCTACACAGTCCTTGCTAGGCACGCCCAGCTCCTTCCATTGGCCTTCTTTCATACTTCCCACATCAGGAGCCTGGAGCTCTGAACCTGCATCAAGTGGTGCCACCTGCTGCCTTGTCTTCTGCTGTCTAGCAATAGGGACTTGCATCTCGGGCTGAGTCCAGAACTAATAAGGGAATAGAGAAAGTGTCTGCGGAGGCCACTACTGACCTCCAGTCTTGAATCTTTCCTAGATTTCCAGTCAAGAACTGAAGGGGGAAAAAACCCCTCACAAATGGTGCCCACAGGCACGGCATGTCCAGGCCCCTACGCACAGTTCTCCTGGAGAATGGCGACTCCCACTGGGACATCCTTCAGGTACTGCCCGGGGGGGAAAAGGAGGGCTAATGGGAACTCCTCACCACCATGGACTCTCTTATACTCTCTTTTTTAATCCTTCAGTTTTGACATTCTGAGTCAAAGTCCTCCTTAATACCCCCAGCTTGCATCTTCCCCTGCCAGAAGCCACAGAAGGAGGAAGAGAGGTGCCTGTGTGCTTAGGGTTCTCTCGGGCATCTCTGAAGCAGTGGAATGTGCTGAACACAAGATCCTTCTGCTTTTTCTTTTTCAAAAAGGACAAACCACGGGGAGACACTCAAACCAAGAGGTGACAAAGGAGTCGTTGCCGTGATCTCAGCCTCCAACATCTCTTCCCCATTTCTCACTTCAGCCCATTCCATCCAAGGGAGTCCATTTCAAGTTGGTCTTGCTTAAGGGACAGGTGGAGTCAGACCCAGGAATGAATTAAAGCTCCACAGGTCAAGTTCAAGCCACAAAGCCCTACTGATGGCCCAGATTCCTGCTCTGCCTTCCCTCCACCAACGCCCAGAGAAGAGTGTGGCCAGATTCACTTTCATATTACCCTGACCTCTCCAACATCCAGGGCTGCCTTCCCTCTCCAGAGCTGGATAGGGAAAGCATATGGTAAAAGGATCTGGGCCACTGGGCTTCCTTTAGTCTCCCCCAAAGAGCTGTACAGAGCTGTGGGACAGGGTGGGGGCGGAAAGTGAAGCAGAGGGGAGTGCTCCGAGGAGTTTTAGGTAAACGGGAATCTGAGCCTCGGTGCACAGAAATCCTTACTTAGGAGTGGGCGTGGGAGACAACACAGAGTGCGCTCCTCAGCTGATGTGACTGCCAAATTCCTCTTTGGAGAAAGTAAGACCCAACTTCTATGTGTGCCAGCGCAGGTCAGCTTTGTCCGTTCTGTCCCCAGGAGATGGTGCTTCCCCACTTGAAGACACCTGCCCACTCTGCCTGGAGTCGGCAAATACCGGAGAACATGGCACGGATTCAGCATTTTAGTCTGAGGAACTTAGCGCTTGGCAACTTTTTTCTGCTAAGACAACCTTCCCACCCACTCGCGGACGCAGCAGTCGGCCTGTAAAGGGTTGGGAGGAGAAGGCTAGCTGTGCCTTGTCATAGAGGATCGGGAATTTGGTCCACAATCGTTGAAGAAACCAGTAGATCATCCTTTTCTACGCGAGTCCACGTGTCTTCGCTGTGTATTGTCTGTAAGTGCCAGAGACGGAGGGGGGCGTGGGATTAGGTCTCTCTCTATCCAAACAAACACCGTTGTTTGTTTCGGTGCACCTTGGTAGGCTTATGCGCAAAGCACTGCGCGCTCCGTGGACTCCCGGAGTGCCGGCGTGTAGAACTCTGCTCAGAGGTGCTAGAGGGGAGCTGGAGCCCTGAGTGGCACGCCCAAGGACCAGGGGCTGCAGCTCCAGGGCACGTAGCTCAGCCCCAGAGCTTAGGTTCCTCCCC